ACACACACCATACACACACACCATACACACACACCATACACACACACCATACACACACACCACACACACACACACACACATACACACCACACACATACACACCACACACACACCACACACACACACCATCCATACACACACACACCATACACACACACACCTGATTGTGGTGTACGCCTTGCACATGCTCTGCGGTCCGTTGCATGCCGAAGCATTGCTGTGCGTTGTGATACGCTGTGTTGCGATTACATGTACGCATGTCACAACACAACCACGCGGCGCACAAACCATTTTTTACGCCAGTCGCTTATTTACTGTTTTGCGTTTCTTCGTTATTTTACCGTTTCGCAGATATTTGTTATTCGCCACGTAAGTTTCAGATTCGGGGGGAGGGGGGGAAGTATTTTTGGGGCACTGACACTGATTTTGGTGCTTTTATCGGTTTGTATTTGTATCGGTTTCGTATTGATTTGTACAATTATCGCTACATAATGAGTCGCACCCTCTTTGTATTCTCCCGCGCTTCCAGACAATATAGCGGATCAGAACCTCTGTCCCGGGTTCCTCCATTTCTCAAGACGTGTACAGAAGGGCTGAACGTTACATTGTCACATGACACCCCAATACATAGTCAATGAAGAGCACCCTTCTAAGGTATAGGGGGTGTAACAGGAAGCTGGATGAGGGTCTATACAGAGCATTCAGGAAGTATTCAGGCCCCTCACATGGTGCAGCCTGAGGAATCTACACTCGGCACTCCATAATGACAAAGTGACAACACAATTGTAGAAATGTCTGGGAATGTATTGTGGGATCTCACATGTGCATAAGTATTCACACCCTGTACTCTGGTGAAGCTCCTTTGGCAGCCATTACAGCCTCCAGTCTTTTTGGGGATGACGCCAGAAGCTTTGCGCACCTGGATTGGGGGATTTCCGGTCACGTTGGATGGGGACCGTCGGCCATTTTCAGGTCTCTCCAGAGATGTTCAATAGGGATCAGGTCAGGCCTGAGCTAAATGTCAAATGTTGCCGCAAAGCTTCTGAATGCCAATGTGAGATTTCAGTGTTTCCATTATCAGACATTTGTGTCATTATGGGGTACTGAGTGCCGATCAGTATCAGGCTGCAACATGTGAAGGGGGTCTGAATACTTCCTGAATGCACCGGTCACATTGTAGGCCCCGTGCTGCAGGGTGTGGACAATGAAATGGGATCCGTTCGGCCGTTCTGATGATTTTGTGTATTTTCAGGATGCCGATAAAAACATTATAAAGCTTCTGAAGGAACGCGGCCGCTTGGTGCACTGCACCACCTACAAACACAACTACCCCTTCTGCTGGAGGTGAGGACCTGTGTGGGCAGAACGTTCCCCGGCTGTGTATGGTGACCTGTGACCTCACTCCTCCATTCTGTCCTCAGGTCAGACACCCCCCTCATCTATAAAGCCGTTCCCAGCTGGTTTGTTCGGGTGGAGCACATGGTGGACAAGCTCCTGAAAAACAACAGTCAGTGTTACTGGTAAGAGGATTCCGTCTTCATGGTGTGTACTATAAATATGCAATGTCCCCAATGTGTGACCTGTGCGAGCCAACAGTGCCGTGTACAGTCCGTCCGGGTCATGAGGAGGGTTCCAGCACCGAGGTATGTTCTGGAATGTTTTATTTCACTTTTGTATCTCCTGGAATGACTTTCCTCTTACAGTACAAGCGTATGTGTCCCCCTTGTCCCCCCCCTTGTGCCCCCCTGGTGCCCCCCCTTGTGTCCCCCTTGTGCCCCCCCTTGTGTCCCCCTGGTGCCCCCCGCGAGTATCATCATTACACTGAACCGTCACCCCATCAGAATGCAGCTCTGCACGCTGACATGAAATCATCTCACTTCAATCTACTTCCTGGTCCTCTTCTGGCACAAATGATGTAATAATGCCCCAGCGTTGCATCCTGGGAAGGTGACATCAGCAGAGCGTTGCTGGGAGATCTCCCCTCAGAGGGTGTGCATGTAAAGTGAGGTGCACCAAAATGAAGATTTCAAAACCGAATCGAAACTAAAATGTTTTTTTTTTCTAACCTTTTCAAAATTGTTTTAATATTTTATTTTGTATAAACTTTCATTTTTTATATTTATTTACTTTTATTACATTTTTTTTTTTAACTGTTGGGTCTCTGGGGGAATATTGGGGTTCTACACAGACCCCTCATATTTCCCTTTTAAAATAGAAAAAGAGATTGAAAACACAGAGACAGAGTCCTAAGTCTCTTTTTCTGCAGCCCCAGTTATGAATGAACAGGAAGCCCCTATATTGAGTGTTCCTGTCCATTCATAACTTGTGGAGATAGTATGTTTGCCATGTACACACCTGATGTAGATCACTTCCCATTCATTCATAATTGAGGATATAGTAACCATTTTCTTCAATTATTTACAAACACTCGGCGATCTCCGATCACCCCTCTCCATCCTGACGCGCTGTCACAGGAGGCTGAGCGAGCGGTGTGGGGAGGAGAGCTCGGCCTCATGTGACAGCTGACTCCTCCCCTGCACCGCCTCCTGTGACAGCTGTCTCCACCCCACACCGCTCTCCTGATCTGTCACAGGAGGCAGAGCGGTGCGGGAGGAGAGACGCCGGCTGCTCACCTCGCTCTCCTCCCCCCTCACCGCTCGGCCTCATGTGACAGCCTTCTCCTCCCCCGCACCGCTCGGCCTCATGTGACAGCTGACTCCTCCCCCCTCACCGCTCGGCCTCATGTGACAGCTGACTCCTCCCCCGCACCGCTCGGCCTCCTGTGACAGTTGCTCTCCTCCCGGCTGGGACACAGAGAAAGAAATGATCGTTGTTGCCCTTATAGCCGACCTTTACCCCGACCTCTACCCCGACCTGTACCCTGACCTGTACCCCGATCTTTAACAACAAAGACACCTGTGGAAATGTTCAGTGATGGCACTTTACAATCACATACAGATAGATCATTGCCGGCCTTGCATTCCTTGTTTGTCTTTTCTTCCCCAGTCTTCTCACGGCGGCCATGTTTACTAAGGGCAGATTATAGCTCTCCTTTTACTTCCTGGATTACTGGCACATGTGACTAGGACATGTGACCATGCACATCATCTCAGGGGAGATCTGGTGAGATTACAGATGAGATTTCCCAGCAATGCTCTGCTGATGGCAAGGCAATCCCAGGATGCATTGCGTCTGCAAACTGAAGTCATTTTGCCCTTTCAAAGCAGGAAGTGAATGCTCTGCCAGTGTAAGTATTTCAGAACACACTATCAGCGAGTCTTAGAGACCTCTTCTGCTCTGTTCTAGATTTCCTATTTATAAGTCTCCTAATTCTCCGGATCTCTCATCAGCGTTGTCAGTTCCTGTCTCCTATGTGTCACCTGCATTGTCCTGGAGCAAGTTAGGGAATTGAATTAATGAATCTCATTAGCGGAGAGTGTCGGCCTCCCCGGCGCCCAGAAAAGAGGCCAACGCGTTTCATCTCCGCTATCTGGAGGGAATGAGAACTTATTAATAGAGGTTCAGGAGCCTCCGGCTGCACTCGTAACCCACTTATCTCTCTTTGTACATCCACTTCACTCAGCGCCCCTCATATATGTGCGCGTGTATATGTGCGCGTGCGTGTCACATTCTGTATTTGTGGAACAGCAATGACGTGCAGATCACAGAGGGTTACACGTGTGTAATATGTTGGTGTGTGACTTGTTTGCATGTCTTTATTTTGAGTTTCCCATCTTCAGAGCCATAGATTTTAAGTGTTCTCGCCCAATCATCAGCTTTGATCTTTGGGGGGGGAGGGGGGGTCTAAATACCACCATCTCTGCATTGTACCCCTCGCAGATATAGTAGGGGACTATTTTCTTGATGGTACAGGACACAGGCAGATTTAGAGACGATTGGGTAATATGCCGGTATCATTAGGCGATTGGATGAGCAGCGTTGTGAAGAACGTTATATAACCCCTCCCCCTCCCCATAGACCCCCAGCTTTTGCTAGTGTTCTTAGGTGACGTCTCCTCTCTGCTGAGTGGACCTCCTTTTCCTGCGATGCTTCAAGCCAGTCCCTGTTGTGTCCGGCCATGACAACAACTGCATGGCTTGTTTGGATAGACGCTGCCAGCAGGTGAGTCTCTGTCCATGTCCCCCTGTACTCCTCTAGGTGTTCCTTGCAGTCTTCTGGGGCCCCCGCGCTCTGCATTGGCCGCATGTTGCGGCCGTTATTTTGGGTCCACAGGCCAGTCTATGGATGTGCTGGCAGTTGCACCACCTCAGCTGGGCACGCTTGCGCAGTAGCGTGGTGGCCATCTTGCTACTCCCGGAGGTGTACATGCTGCAATTAGCACGGCCGTGTGGGCCAGCGGTCATCTTTGTACTCTGGCTGGAAGGCTTCATTGGTGTTGGGACTTCTTAGCAGGAAAGTTGTCTGGTGGTAAACACTCTGGGGGACTCCTCATTAACTCTTTAGATTCTGGTCTGTGATTACCCTTACAGGGCCCCTCACTATGGTGGAATCAAAATGCGAAGGGTCTTGGGGGGTAAAAGGATAGCCAGCTCCATAGCTACCAATGGCATGGGGGGTTGCCAAGGGTTTCCCCCACAGACTCTGCTCAAGGCAGTCTGTCTGTTAGCCCTCCTTTAGGCTCACTGCTCTATTGCCCCATTAGGGGGTGTCACATTGTCCCTGCTTTAGCCAGGAAGATTTTGGTCATGATTGAGGCGTAGAACAGTAGAAAGGCGTCATGGCACACTCACAAACCAGCATGTAAAACAACTTGTCTCACCACTAAGGACAATGACAGAGGTTTGGATACACGGCTTCTGCAGAGGATGTGTAAGCCGCACTGCCGCGCCAAGGCACCTCTTATAGTGCGGTCCTAACTCTAAACTATGAGAGTCTCCATCTTGGAGCACATGGGGCAGAAGATATCAAATTGGGTGCAGGCCTGTCAGGAGGAAGCCCCGCCTCCTTAAAAGGTACAGAAACACACAAGGGATCCCGCACATCCCATTGGCAGCTGAGAAACCCCATGCGTCGCTGCACCAAATCGGTAAAGCAAAACAAACGACAAACGCACTCAACAATTTGTTACCAGTTGTACAGCGCGGTGCACACGAAATGGGCTTTGAACAGTAGAACAGTAGAAAGGCGTCATGGCGCACTCACAAACCAGCATGTAAAACAACTTGTCTCACCGCTAAGGACAATGACAGAGGTTTGGATACACGGCTTCTGCAGAGGATGTGTAAGCCGCACTGCCGCGCCAAGGCACCTCTTATAGTGCGGTCCTAACTCTAAACTATGAGAGTCTGAGGCGTAGGGCCGCAGAGGGCATAATCGCAGTCCACCTTCTCTTTCCTCTTCCGATCACTAATAGACACAGCTTTGGCTACTGCCCCTTGTACTTGAGGAGGACATGCCTTCTCCAACTCTCATGTTTCCTTACTGGAGGAGTGGCCTTTGGTGATGGTGTCATCAAAAATGTGTGACATCATGTCAGTGCTCATTGATGAGGAGTGAGAGTGTCTAGCCTTTGACCCACCTGTACCGGCTCCCCCCGCGGTCACCAGTATAGGGTTAGGGTGAGACAAAAGTGACCCGTTAAGACATTCCCTTGTAAAGGAAGTGCTCTGTGTATTGGCCACATCCTTGGCAGTTATTTGCTCCTCTGAAGTGATTTCTAGGTAACCGGGCGGCACTGGAGGTGGATACTGCCATCTTGTGTCCTAACAAGCCCCCGGCGGCACTGGTGGTGGATGTTCCGGCATTTAAGGACAGCTGGCCCCTTATGTCAGCTTTTAAGTCTTGGGTCTTTTTTCAGTCCAGATGTGCAGGCTCCTACGGTTCAAGTACTGGTCTTTGGCGGCTTGTAAGAAGTCCCTAGGAAGGATCGGCTTTGTGGAAGAAGGTGTCTTTGTAGAGGATTTGGACAACTTTAACAAGCAGTGTACTGGTGGTAAGAGCACCAGAACTGGGCCAGAAAAATCTGGTATGTGGACATCCTTTGGCTACTAACAGACTCCTTGTGGCCACTTCCAGACCAGCCGGAACTGCTGTCTCAGGGTCTGGTATGCCATCCTACGTTTTGGTCCCTGGCTTTGATTGGCTCGGCTGTTGAAGGCCAGTTTCTTAGGGATAGAGGTCTGTCTAACTTGGTCATTCCTACACTCTTGCATGCCAGAAAGTCCTTCTCTCCTAAGGTGTACCACCGCACCTGGTGGGCTTACTCTGGCCGGTGCAGACAACGGACATTTCTTAGTTGGAAGTACTCCATGCGATGGGTTCTGTCCTCGCGCCAATCGGGGCTGGATCAATATTTGTCCCTAAACACTCTCAATGGAAACATTGCGGCCTTGGCCCTCCTTTTTCTGTGGCTGCTGGCCTATCATTCCTCGATAAAGACCTTTGTTCTGGTAGTCACTTCTCTGGCTCGCCTGCGGGATCTCAATCTAGTGCTTTCATCTTTACAGGGAGCTCCCTCTGATCGCAGACCTTGGATCCCATGTGCAAGGTGGTCTTGTCTCTTATCACCTCCACTAGAAGGGTTTCAGGGTTGGCGGCACCTTCAGGGAACTGCTGCTTGTGCTTTGCTAGGATAAGGCTGTTCTTGGGCCTAGTGATTCTTTTTTACATACGGTTATGTCCTTGTTTCACCTCAATCAAGACATTGTCCTGCTCCAAAACATCCTAGGGAGGTTTCCTTCCGCTGCTTACATGTGGTTCAGGCCACCCTCTTAATTAGGGACCTCACATGAGGATCACTGCCTCTCCTTCCACCATTTCTCAGTGGATTAGACGGGTCATTGTGTATGCCCTAAGGAGCACTCTACAAAATCTGTCCGTGCCTCTTGGGCCCTTTGGCATCAGGCCTCTGCTCTTCCGATTGGTAAGACTGTCATGTGGTCACCTGGTCTTCTGTTCACACATTTACTAAGTTTTACCAGGTGAATGTTCGGGCCTCTGATGCTAGTTTCAGCTGGAAGGTCCTTCAGGCTGCTGTCTGAGTGGAGTTTTCCCCTGGTAGGGTCCCCCGGCTCCCCTCGCTTCCTCACACTGCAACACGCAAAGGGGAAGAGAGGAAGGAAAAGAGAAGAAGTATCACAAAGAAATGCCCACGGAGGAGGAGGAAGCCGTATCTCTAGTGCCCCGTATACCCCGTAGAATTGTGTACGTCTTCCATGTTTAGAATGCATTTTGTGGATGTAGTCCTCGTTGTCTTTCCATTCCTTCAATGTCTGGGAACTAACATGCGAGCCGCATTAATAAGGGATCTGGCATTGCGTGTTCCAAATCTGAGCCGACACGACCTCCTCAGTCACCGCCGGTATCTTACTCCAATCTATTTAAACAGCATAAAATGTCGTATTTATTTATAGGGTTAGGGTTACACCACCCAGGGGAAACACGGTAGTATCTGGGGTGTGGGGTGTCTGTGATCCTCGTAGTATCTGGGGTGTGGGGGCCCCATGGGAGCAGATGATTGTACAGTTATTACAAATGTTCTGTTTGTCAGGGTCCCCGAGTTTGTACGAGAGAAGAGATTTGGGAATTGGCTGAAGGATGCCCGCGACTGGGCCATATCCAGGAACCGCTACTGGGGCACCCCCATTCCAAGTCATGGCGCCCCGTGTCTTGCAGGTGGTGTGTGTGGGCTCGCTGGCAGAGTTGGAAGAGCTGACTGGAATAAAAGTGACAGATTTGCACCGGGAAAGGTGAGTTCTATCGGCTGCTAATGTTCCATCACTTGTATGTGACAGATCCCTACTGATCAGAGGAAAGAAACCGGTGTGAGGACTCCGGCTCTGAGATCCCTTTCCCAGGTGTGAGCACTCCGGCTCTGAGATCCCTTTCCCAGGTGTGGGCACTCCGGCTCTGAGATCCCTTTCCCAGGTGTGGGCACTCCGGCTCTGAGATCCCTTTCCCAGGTGTGGGCACTCCGGCTCTGAGATCCCTTCCCAGGTGTGGGCACTCCGGCTCTGAGATCCCCTTCCCAGGTGTGGGCACTCCGGCTTTGAGATCCCTTTCCCAGGTGTGGGCACTCCGGCTCTGAGATCCCTTCCCAGGTGTGAGGACTCCGGCTCTGAGATCCCTTCCCAGGTGTGGGCACTCCGGCTCTGAGATCCCTTCCCAGGTGTGGGCACTCCGGCTCTGAGATCCCTTCCCAGGTGTG